TATCAGGGTAAAATATTTGCCAAATCTTTCATGTGAGTTTGCATGCATTGGTGACCTCTGCAGAAGAGAGCAAATATGTGACCCAAAACATCGAAACGAGGATTAAGTCCAAAAGTGGTATAAGGAGAAATAGGCAAAAACAGTGTTTTGACTAAAATGTTAACAAAATGAATAAAAGCCTTATTAATGTATCATTTGAATGAACTGCCTGAATTATAATCATAAAACAAAATTTTGAAGCACTTTTTTGAGCAGTAGCAACAAAAAAAACTGATTTTGAGGAAAAACACCTTAAAATTTAGAGATTTTCCCTGTGAGTTAGCAAAGTTTTGTTTCTTTTCAGCTGGGAAATCTCAACATTCAAATATAATTTGAGGTTTCCTCTTTATAAGGACATCAAAAATCCCTCTATAAAATGACATAAAATTAGGATTCGGACAAAATATTTATGTATTATTGTAACCAACAAGACAAATAAAGTCAAAAAAATGGATCTAATAATGATATCAGAATGATCCAGGTATAAAAACATAGCTTTTAAAGCCAAGAATCTGAAAATGTAATTAGGTCATTTTGACCATATTTGATTTAATCCTCATTTCGATATGATGGCTCACATATTGTTAGAAAAATATGCTCCTGGAGAACCTGAACCATTTTCTCTCCCAGGAACCTTAAAAGTACTTTTGCATAAACCAGAGTCAGGCACCTGGCCTTACRCCCTGAGTGGGCTGCGTTCACAGAGCTGATCCGTGTTGAACCGTGCACCGGTCTGTGGGGAGCACCTGGTACCAGAGTACACAGGTACAGACGAGGCACCTCCCATCGGTGGCAGCCACAGGCAGGGAAAGGGAAGTCTGATCTGTGCCAGGCTCTGTAGCTCTCATCCTCTGGCTCTTTGTTCTTCCATCACCTCCCCTGCTGCCTGACGTTACGTCTCCCTGCTGCCTGACGTTACGTCTCCCTGCTGCCTGACGTTACATCTCCCTGCTGCCTGACGTTACATCTCCCTGCTGCCTGACGTTACGTCTCCCTGCTGCCTGACGTTACATCTCCCTGCTGCAGGCAGATGTAGCAGGGGATGATTCGCCTGTGATGTGCTTATTGGAAGGTTTGCCATCATTTGAAAGAGAGTCTACTTCCTGTTGTTCTTCAGGAAAGGAGAAAAGGCATAAACATGCATGGACCTGAGTTGTAAGATTGGAGGGGGTTTGAACTGCAAGAATATTGCTGCTTATTTTCCTATCTGCAGCTCAGTTGTTTAAAATGTAAAAATGGACCTGCCCTCCTAAAGCCTGTCTTAAAGGCCCACTTCCAAATGAGGATGGAGGACTCTTTTCTTTGACTTTTTGCTGCTGGATAGGTTATGGTTCGTGTTAGGAAGACAGAGCTAAAGCAGCACTCTTCTGCCCTCTTGTGATCAAAATGAAGTAAAACACCCTGAAGTAAATAAACAATAATATAGTATTTATTAACCTTTTTACAGTTCCTAATGCACATGTGTAAAATTCAGGCTCTATTGTTTCAGTTCTGTACATTTGATTTTTTTAATTKACTTTTTACACAAGCCTATGTATAAATTAGTTTAATTTTTTTTACGTTTTGATAGTAAAATGTCCTCAGTGTGCAGTGCTGCTCTGTGTCAGAATGACTGCAGACCACAGCCAAAACAAATGAACTCTGATTAGACTGAGTGTTTATACTAAYCAGAAGTAGGCGGGAACATATCTGGACCACAATGCATCACAAAATACTGACTTTAACTGTACTAACTCTAATCTGTAAGAACGTGGTAAATCTTTAGAAATTCTTTGTTTTAACACCAAAAATCTCAAAAATGTACAAAAGCTTTATAAAACTTTGAGACTAGACAAGAATTGAGTTTCAAAGTAGAAAACCTACAGGAACTCCTTTTTTATCAATTGTGATAGTTCGTTTTTGCTTTTACACTGAACAGATTTTTAACAAAATTTTAAAAATACATAACTATGCATATATTTACAACTGATTGACCTTTGTAGCCAATTTAATTCAACATGGCTGCCACAGCTAATAAACTTCTGAGTAGGTGAAAAAAATACTATGTTTTAAGGATTTTTTCAGATATTGAGTAGTAACATGTTATTTAATGTTTAAATACTGTTTCTCTAAGCTCAAATAAAAAGTGTTTGTAGTAAACAAACATTTACCCTCTTAATGTTCATRTTTCATTCTGTCAGAGCTTTTTAAAAAGAAAATAAAAACCTAGAATTCCTTTCATAGCAGAAATTTAGACCAAGATCATTTTATTTTGACACACAGTACTTGTAGAATTTTGAATCAAACCTTGAAAAATCATTAAAGCCTCTTTCACAAGACAATTCTGTGAAATCACCGCACAGAGCAGTCCGGCTTTAAGCTCCCTCGTAAATAAATAAATAAAATGAACCCAGCAGGGTGGAAACAAAAGAAGCATTAAATATTATTGCTACATCTTTGCCTGTTGGCAGGAGAGGATAATAAACATCAATGAAGTTGGTAAAAACATTGTATGAATTATTTTAAATAAAGGAAACTTATACCCACCAGGATCAGAGTTTAACATTGCATCTGTCTTCTGCACAATCTGAAGTGTTTTCCTCTCGTTTCTAGGTGAAGCTTCCTTTCCCAATTGATCAAATCACAAATCTTCCACGGAATGACTTCCAGATGTTGGTAAAAATGCACAAACTCACSTCGGAGCAGCTCGAGTTCATCCACGACGTGAGGCGACGGAGTAAAAACCGCATCGCAGCGCAGCGCTGCCGCAAGAGGAAGCTGGAYTGCATTCTGAACCTGGAGTGTGAGATCAGGAAACTGGTGAGTGAGCTGAGTTTTATCTGAACACAACTGKATCTGATGCAGAGCTTTAGCTCAGACAGAACTAAACAGACATTGTAAACATGGACAGTTCTAAAGCTTCGAAACAAAATGTCTGAACAACTGGGTTTCAGTCACATGGTTTCGAAGGCGGCGCGATCTCCACTGGAGGGCAGGGGGTGAAATGTCTATGGAGGAAACTACTGTAGAGAGTTTATAATGTATGGATTTAGATCCTATTTCAAGATATATAACAACAATTTGTTCACAAATCTGTCAGACACGACTCGTATGATGAAGATGAATGAGTTTTCGACAGAACCTAAAGATTTGCTGAGGCTGTTGGTACCACACATCACCAGGTGCCAAATAATAACCAGCAAAAGTTTAATCTGATGAATAATTACACACGATTCTGCCCAACCCTATGACAACATATGATAACACTGATTATCACACAAAGATGAAAAATGTAGAAAGCTCACAGAACGACAACGTAAAAAGTGGATTTTAAACTGTCTGCTTTACTAAAATAGTATTTGTATTTCATG